TAGAAGCATTATTTGTAATTGCCAGAACCTGGTAAGAACCCAGATGCCCCTCAAATGAAGAGTGGATAGAAAAAAATGTGGTACATTTACACAATGGAGTACTACTCAGCATAAAAAATGGAATATTGAAATTTAATGGCAAATGGATGGCACTGGAAGAAACCATCCAGAGTGAGGTAACACAGTCACAAAAAGACAAGCATGGTATATACTCACACATATATTTTAGACATGGAGCAATGCATTACCAGCCCACAACCCCACCACCAGAGAGTCTGGGGTACAGGGAGGACCCTAAGAGAGATATATATGGTAACCTGGAGAAGGATTAGGGGATGCGATCTCCTCATTGGATTGGGGGGAGAAGGGGAGGGTAGAAGGACATGGGAGAAAGAGAGAAAAGAGGACAGAAGAGGAGGACATGGGAGAGCAGGAAGGTTGAGCCAGGGTAAGAATAGAGGGGAAAAGGATGGGAGATACCAGAAAAGAGGGAGCCAGTATAGATTGGAGGAGAGATCTGGTACTAGTGAGATCTTTACATATCTACAAGAAATATATTTTAATACAATTCTTTTTAGAATTTTTCAATCATAGTCAATTGTAGAATTTATTTATTGGATACCTAAACATTTGTTATGCTAGGATGCATTAGCCTCCTACTTTCCTGATGATATTTGGTCATATGAGCAGTGTGTACATGATAGGCTTATGAACATGTGTGTAAGTGTGGGAGCACACATGCCTCAGCATGGAGATTAGAGGACAACCTTGGAGCCAGTTCTTCCTCCTTAATTTCCACCTTTGATGAGACAGATCTCTTGCTGTTCACTGCTGAGTATGCTAGAATAACTCACATAGAAGTAAGGAGGGATTCATTCTCTCATCTCTGTCTCCTATCCCACTATAGAGACATTGGGATTACAGACGCAGGTTGCCAAACTGGCTTTACAGGGATTCCAGGATCTGAGCTCATATCTTAGATTTACACATCAAGCAGTGTACCCACCAAGCCATCTACCCAGCCCATGAAGCCTCTTCCTAATTGGACATCCTTCGAAATAATCAGATATCTTGTACTATGCACACACACACATTAATCCACACAGAGAAAGCATTAAAAACATAGCAATTGAGAAACACCCAGTTTTTTACTCTTAATAAACTAATAAACATTGAAAAGAAAGACAACACTTTCAGCTTTATCCTTGACAATATATTTTTGCTTTGTATTTATTATGCTTAGTCATAACACTGTAGTGAAAGCACTGTGCAATAAAAGGGCCAGCATACCAGTGCACTGATTAGATACAGAATGATTAGTCACTGTTGGAAATTGTGTGCCAAAGGTCCACAGAACGTGAAGACTCGTTATGACTTTCACCTGTGATACAACTATGAGAATCTAACAATGTAGTCAAAACACAGAACACTATTTCATATTTGTGTGGCTTTACTCAGGATTAATCATAGAAGAGGAACTGGGAAGCACTTTATTATTGTAAATTTGAGAGTACTAGTATAAGGTTTGAAATGTTTGTGTCAAAATAGTGATGATATTTTTAATGTCTTAGAACTAATAGGACAGTAATTATTCCTGGGTAAATGGACATCATTATATTTATACATAAAACTCCACCCATAAATTAGGGTAAGATACACACAACTAAGCACTGAACTGAACCCAAGGAACCCAGTGACAGAGAGAGAGGAGTGATGAGCAAATTGGCAAAGAATGGGCTGGCAAAACCAGCAGAGACAGCTGATCTGAACAGGGGAGTGCTCTTGGACCCCAGACCGACAGTGGAGAGGCCAGCATGGGACTGATCTGGACCCCCCAAATGTGAGTGTCAGTGAGAAGGCCTGGGCAACCTATGGGGCCCTGAGCTGTGGATCAGTGTCTATCCCTGGTATACAAACTGTCTTCATGTGCCTATAGCACAAAGAGAGATGCTCTCTCAGCCTGGACTCTTAGGGGAGTGCCTTGACCCTACCAAGAGTAAAATGACAGACTCTAGATATCCCCTATGTGGAAGGATTTGGCAATAGGGTGGGAGGGAGGGGGGGAAGGGGAGTGCGGGAGGAGGGGAGGGAGAGGGAACTGGGATTGACATGTAAAACAAGCTATTTAAAATTAAAATAAAAAATGATAAAAAAATTAGGGTAAGATGTTCACACAGCTCTCTATTCTGTTGTGACCAATAATAATTCTACTATTTGTAAGTTGATCTCTTTTGGCCAATGTCAAAGAAGAAACTGCCTTAAAAATCAAGACCAAGGCCTTTGTAGTCACTTGGACATTAAATATTATTTCTGGCATTTACCAAGTTATTGACCTAGCACTAATTTAGCACTGGTTTCTATGGACTCAAACTGATCAGTTGCCATACAAGACTAAGTGTTCTAATTAGCCTAAGTCATAAACTCAGGAAAAGATGAGAAGAATCTGATCATTCTCCCTATCATTTGTTATTAAAAAATTTTGCTGATGACTACAGCACTTGGCTTCAGCTATTAGTTTGTTTTGCATAAAATTTTGGCAGAATTGTGTCTATGACAGAAAGAGGTTCTCTTCTTACTTGTATGGACCCATCTATTTAAACTTGAGTTTCTGTCTACACATAATTATTCATTTGGACTGTGGTAAAGCAGGTACTGCAAATGGTCAAAACTTTCCAAGCAGTTGTAAGTCTAGGTAGGATAAGAAACCCCCTTTCAATAAAATTATTACTTTCTCACTATGACTGTAGCAACCATTTTTCCCTAAATAACTGTTTCAAATGTTTTTGCTGCTTTCATTGGCTTTTTCATATAATCCCTGTGCAAAGCAAGCCGTGCTCCAGTCCTTAACAATGCAAATGAGAGAGGACCATGCTAGGGAACTATCCATTTTATTTTGTAAGCATTGCTTTTAAAAGGTGTATTTTCTCCTTTTTCATCTTGTACTGTTGCTCTCTAAGATCTCAAATTACTGTGGATTCATTCACCTAGGTTGAATTTAGTGTCAACACATGGGAGAAGTGCTAGTACAGATGGAAGAAGATAAGGATGCTCAATGGACAAGATCCAGAGTTTGGTCTCCCACAAGACTTCTTATGAAAATAAATATTTCTGTGATACTTCAGCCAACATGATGTAGATTTATAACCTAGAGAAGTCCTAACAACTGCAAGTGAAGGTAACAAATTCCCCTGTGACACACCCATCTCTCATTGTACTTTACACACACCCCAAAATAACCTAGAATTTCTGAAAATTTGTGAATCCATAATGAGGTTATAAGCCTTTGTGTATGTAAATTAAGATAAAATATTGAGCAGCATGGGCTGGAGAGATGACTAAGGAGTTAAGAACAATTGCTTCTTTTCCAGAGGACCTAAGTTTGAATCCTAGCACCCACATGATGGCTCACAAAACCTGTAATTCCAGTTCTGAGTTAATAATACTCTTTTCTCACCTCCTTAACATCAGACATGCATGTGGACTATAGATATATATGCAGACAATCACACATGCACATGAAATAAAAATAATGTTTTAAAACATAAATTGAGGAATAATAAATAAGAATTAATACAAAAAACATAATAGTATGTTTGAGAAATACTGTATTCTCTTTTAAAATATTAAATTCTGGTCAACTTTTGAAACCTTGAGAAAAAGCTGTTGGTCATCATTTTAAACATTTTTTTCAAATGCAAAGAAAAAGAAATTTACTTTATATGGTACATAAGGTTTCTTTGGGAAATAAGTAGTAAACTTCCTAAAGAAAACACCATATACCTAGACTTGCTATCTAATGTCAACACTATTTATGCGGTTAAGCTGTATGTGAGAATGAAGTAAATTACTGAGAAAATTGTTCTCAAAAGATAAGTCCAGGTTTGGAATTTTTGGACTTAAGAGATCACTTGCTATATCTACTTTGAAGAAAATGATGAATGGTAACTATTGATGTCACCTATATGACAAGACCACGTGGTACCAGACAGGCAGTTCTTCTCAATGTGGGATTTAAAACACAAAAAAGTACTTCTTTTGCTGAACATATTGTTAATAATAGCTGTGTATTTACTTAGTTTCTGTAGACACGTGTCTGCTTACCAGAGCCTATATGTGAGTTAGACTGTATTACATGTTTTTTCTTATGTTTCCATAGGACAAATTTGAAGTTTCCTATTCTAATAGTGTATTGACATCTTTACACACAAAATTTTCAGGGTTTCATACGTCTCATCCCATCACAATTCTTTTTCTGATGGCTAAGGATATCTTTCGCTCATTTAGATTCTTTTGTTGAGAATTCTCTGTTTACATCTGTACTCCATTTTTAAATTTTGATTATTCGATATTTTCACATCTACTTTCTTGAGTTCTGTATATATCTATCAGGTAAATGCAAATAAAAGCAACTCTGAGATAGCATCAACACCAATCAGAGTGGCTAAGATCAAAACAACAAAGATGCTGAAGAGGATTTGGAATAAGGAGTAAAGACTTCCATTTATGGATGATAGATACACACATAGATAGATACATACATAAATAGATGCTTAATGATGACAGATAATTAGATGATAGATGGAATGAAGATGATAGATATGTATATAGATAGATGGAAGATAGGTAGATGGATGAATATGCACATACATATATGCAGTCTTTGCATGTAATTTACAACCTATTTTCAGTATCAACTTTTGTAGTCATAGAGCATGAAGGTAAATTAAAGATCGTTGAGTGGCTATAAATTCTTCTATGCAATATTGCTTTTTACTGAATGTTCTTTTCTTAGTTTTGAGCATGATATTTCAAAACCTTCTCTGATTAGCAATGGCACATCTACATTTTCAAAAACTCAGAAACAAATGTTAGATTAACAATCTCCATGGAAGCTTGCTACAGACAAATAGGGTATTTGGTTTCCGAATCATCATGGATGGAAGGAATAGAAAGAGACTTGGCTCTGAAACATATTGAGGTAAGGTGTTTACCAACATTACTTACAATTTAGCTGGCAAACATCGAAAACTTTTGTTCATGCCATCTAGGGTTTTCATATCCTCAGGAGATAATTGGAATTCAAAAACCTTTCAGCAAAACACAAAGGTTTTAATATTTGAATGAATCAGATTTTATGCTTCAAAGGTAATATAAGACCAGTGAAAAGACATGATGCTCAATCACAGAGGAAAAGTATGAAGACTGGAGTAAGAGTCAGATTTTCAGGATGTAACAAAAAGAGAAGAAAAAGAAAGCAACATTTGAGAGAAGGCAATTCAGCAAACTTCTGAATTTTTCAACATCAATATTAAGACTATGTAAATGCAGCAAACTGATAATCCACACTTCTTTTTATTTGAGAAAATACAAAATCTCTTTATTGTTTACCTAGAATTGCACATTATTGCATTGTCATACTTCTATCCATGAACCGACAGTCTTAGTTAATATATATTGTATCATATTTAATTGATCATATATATGTATAATTTCAAATGACCATAAATATATCTCATTACATATATTTACATATGATAAACTTATTTGATTCATAATTTACCATATATTTTCACACATATAAATATATATATTTTCCACACATTACCCAGTGCTCACCCCTACACACTTCTGCACATGTCCAAAGATCTTTATCACAAAAACTGGTTTTATGGTTTTTTTTTCAGTAGCATTTCTAGGATCACCATCAATACATGGATACAACATTGAGGCAGTTGTAGTTGTCTGCTAGGCATAAGTATCAGAAGTACCTTTGGTTCAATTTCAAATCTGGTTATGAACAAATGTTAATAAATGTTGTTGATATTAAACTTCTACTTATGAATGATTGCTTTAGTTAGTAAACATGTTATATTAAAATATACTTACCTGAAAAATTTTTAATAAATCAACACAGCTGGGCATTGGTGGTACACGCCTTTAATTCGAGCACTGGTGGCGGGGTAGAAACAGGCAGATCTCTCTGAGTTCAAGGTCAGCCTAGTCAAAAGAGCAAGTTCCAGGACAGCCTCCAAAACAATACAAAGAATCCATGTCTTGAAAACCAAACCAAACCAAACCAAACAAAATTCAACCCAGATAAATGAGTAAATGAGGAAGACAGGAAAATAAAATTAATCATTATATGTATGTATATATTATGTATGTATGTATATATTTATGTATATATAGATAGATATCAGAAAATCTAAGCATTCAATGTATTAAAAGTAAACCATAGAAATTTCTAGAATCAACATTAAACAGTCCAGATCCCTCATTTCAGAAAATAATGCAGAAGATCATAGAGAAGGAGTATGTAGTACTTGACTGACAATGCACACCAAAATTCTACATAGCCTCAAACACTAACTCTGTTAACTCATGTTTCTGTTTACTCCATATGCAAAACATTTCTCAATGCACCTGAAAGCTCACATGCATAGAAAATGCTAGAAATATAGGCTTGATTTCAATAAATTTCAGACATTTGAAGGAGGCAAGCTTATGGAAGATACTGCTTGCAGAACTCATCACCTGCAAATTCTCTTTCATCTCATTTTCTTTGAAATTCTGGGCCAGGGCCACAATCCCACGCTGTACCAGGTAATGAAGTGCAATCACAGCAGGACTTCATTTATTCTTTTTGGCCACAACACAAGAACTGGGTCATTCAAGAGAACTGGAGAATTATGGTCCACCCTAGTAACAAAGTAGAAATGAGCTCCTGAGGGCAAGGCTTTGGTTTTCTTGTGGTGCTACAAAACATGTCAGAGCTCATTCTAGGCTGGGTATGATGGCTATGGATAGTTGTCAACTGGAAAAAGTCTAGAATCACCTGGGCAGTGAGGCTCTGGGGGATTAACTTATTCTGAATGTTGGTATGGGAAGACACATTTCATTATTGGTGCGGACTTTCCCTTGAGCTGGACTGTATAAATGCAGAAAGTGGTCAGAGCATGAGTGTTATTTGTCATTCTACGCTTCTTGCCTGAATGTGAAGGATGACCTGCTTCAAGTTCATGACTTCATGACTTGTCTGCCATTATGGTCTATACCATGGACCTTGAAACCTAAGCAGACCTCTCTTCCTGAGGTTGCTCTTGCCTGAGTATTTTACGGATCACAGGGAAAAAAGTAAGGAACTAAGACATTAAGGGTGTTCAGTAGTCCCTGAATCACCACCAATTGTTTCAGAAGGTTCTTCTAAAGAAAAATTACCTTTCTCCCTATAAAATGAGGGTTGTGATGCTAATTGACAGACAGCCTTGCTTCAGGTATACTCTTAATCTTATTATCATTCTTATATCTTTGGGTTTCCAGAGCTGCATAAGCAACCATAACAATGTCTTTTGATTTGCAGTACTCCAGCAGCTTACTCTGGCTGTTATAAATATGACATTCAACCTATGAAAGAAAATGATAGAAAGATATAAGATTATATCAAATACACATATTATGACAAATAAAAATGCCTGAAGTCAATAGGCTAAGAAAATTATATGCATTATCATATTTGAGTTTGAAAGATTAAACTGTTGCAATTTTTCGAAGAATAAAATGCTTACTTTTGGAGGATTATGCAAAGAACATTTGGCTAGCTAAGGTTTGGGGCCAAAACAATAGCTAGGGGTCCTCAAGGCAGTTCAGTGTGTAAAGATGCCAGCTGCTGAGATAATTAAATCATGAAAAAGGACCATAATGAGCTAGTGAGAAGCAGAAAACCTCCACATAAGTCCAGAACACTGGCTGGTTTTCATTTGAGCTAAATCTTTCAACAAAATATCCCATGCCTACCCATTACTTTACTCTGAGTTGAGGGAGAAAATCACCTTCCCCTGTACTCAACTTCTGCCTGCTGGAACAACTTTAAATTCATACATTTGCCATCAGTGTATACTGTAGTATATCTCTATTCTCACCAATATTTTAAGAATCCATGGTTAAATTTAGACTTTCCCATGTCTTTTGAAACAACTCTCAGAATCATCTTTCCACAAAGTGAAAATCACTTGGTCAGAGGGCAAATGAACATGCGTCAGTACTACAGAGTGAGGAAAGGCATGAGATAATGAAGGGACGAGAATTCTTACGTGATTGCGCACAGGTTTGTACTTAAGTCCTGGTTTATTCAGGATTCTCTGTAAGTGCCTGTGGTTAAAGTTGGACACCCCAATAGACTTGACTAATTCTGCATCCTTACACTTCTCCAATGCCTAGTGATGAGAAAGGGATTGTGAAGGGTCAAACTTGTAATTGACTATGTCAGTATAAAGAGAAGATGGAGCTCTTAGAAGGATAATTGTCTGGAGTTAGACATATAGATCAATGTTAGAACACTTGCCAGTGTTTAAACGGCCCCAAATTTGATAACAGACTTTAAAAATTGTGGGGAGTAGTGTATTGTCCATATTATCACTGGAGTTAAATATGAAGAAATCAAGATAATAGCAATAAAGAAGAATAAGATGTCAGCCAAAGAGGAATTTCCATGGCATTACTAGAAAGTTGAGAATGCTGTTACATAAAGTGGCTCAATATTACACCATCCTATTATCCTGAGAACTTCTTCAATTTCGCATCCCTTACATTTTAGTGACACATTCTTCCTCTTCTATTCCAGCAAATATGTATACAAGTAAATGAATGTACACACGCAAGGGAAAATGAGGTGATTCTCCCTCCCTCTTCTTACTTTATTGTCCTTTTGAAAAGTACTCACCTCCCATGTAGCACAGAAATCCACTGTGTCCAAGAGTAATTTTCCTTGTTCATCTAATGGAAAATCACTATCCTCTGCCTGAAATGACACAAAACCTTGTGTCTCACCTTTTAAGAATATCCTTGAGGAGTGGAGAGACAGCTTTGTGAATAAACAATGGTTTCTCTTTCAGAAGTCCTGGGTTCAATTCCCAGCACCTCCAATGGTAGGTCACAACTATTTGTAACTAAGACTCATGGGGCCCATTCCCCTCTTCTGGCATTCATACATAATAGTGTACAGGTATACACACAAAGAAAACATCCAAGCACATTGAAGAAATATTTTAAATTTTAACAAATATCTTGGAAATAAGACAGGAAGCATCCATATCGAGAGTGAAGAATCATTCTATATACTGTGTTTTGCAAGTGATACTCATGAGTAATTGTAAAAATTATATGTAGGAGCTTAGCTGTGCTGTTTTCTCTTACAATAATATATGAATAATTAATTTTTTTTCTTATAATAATTGTTGGGTGGGGTTCAAGACAGGATTTCTCTGTGGCTTTGGAGGTTGTCCTGTAACTAGCTCTTGTAGACCAGGCTGGTCTCAAATTCACAGAGTTCTGCCTGCCTCTGCCACCCGACTGCTAAGATTAAACCAAGTGCCACCACTGCCAGGCCTAATTTTATTTTCAAACTATCATGTAATATCATAATTTCCTTCCTCCTCTCTCCTTCCTGAACCAATCACATTTATGCCCTTGCTGCCTCTAAAATTCATGGACTCTATTTCTTTATTCATTGCTACTTATACACACACACACACACTTACACACACACTATATATATACATATATATATTTTACATATATATATGTATGTTCTAATATTTTCAAACAACAATGTGAGACCACCTAGTTGACTTTTATTCTTTTGTCTAATAATTCTTTTGGGAAAAAAGAAAATGTTTCATATTCACTTGGAAGCACAGTCATTGCATCTCCTTGACCTCCAGCAAGAATTTACACCAACTTGACCAGGATAAATGATATATATGAATACATGTGGGCATAAGGACAAGCATGGGAGCCAAGGAGGGTCAATCAGGACTTTGTGCAAGATTGATTGTCATAAGAAAAGACACAGAGAAGCCATGAAGTGTCAATGACCTTGAATCTCAAACTATCTTGGGATCACATTTGCCAGCAAGACAGAAAATATGGACAATACCAAAGCACACACCTAGTAATTCAAATATATATAAAAGGCATGTAAATATAAGTTTTTCTGGAAGTTACTTCTACTCTGTGTTTCTGACCATTTCTTGGACACCTCATTTCATAATCCAGTAAACACTTTGTAGAACCCACTCAGGAGTTTAATAACAAAAATAAACATTTCCTTTAGCCCAGAATTCCCTTTACTCTGACTTAACAATTTAAACTCAGATATGTAGGCTTATTTCGGTAGTTCATTTATTGAACAATATATTACTCAATAAATAAAATACATATTACTAACAATATCTAATAACTGAATTACTTTTCACAGAGATTGTAGTCTACAATTAATTTCTCTTACTGATTTATGTAGCTGACATCTTTAATCAGTTTCTGATCTAGTATTGTAATTTTCACTTCCCTCTATTATAGTTCAACTATTTGTGCTTGTATGCTATAAAAACTATACCTTTGTAGTGATGAACATGTCTTCTCTCTTTACTTCACCAGCTTTAATCTTGCTTTGAATGGCCTGTTCTATTTCCTCTTCTATTTGATAGTAAAAAGCAGTATCAATATGGCGGTATCCAACACCTATAGCTAGGTTTGCGGATTCCAGTGACTTACTCCTGGGAACCTAGAGGAACAACCAAAAGAGGTATTTAGAGATGTGTTTTCCAAACGCTAGCTCAGAGTGAGTCTAGATGGGAGTTTACTAGACTAGAAAGGATTTTGTTTCTCAAAGTCATACTCAGAACACTTGTTGGGCAACAGTCTAGTCCCCTGTTCCTTCAATTCCACTTTCTATTCTATAAAAGACAAAGAATTCTCCAAAAATACTGTAGATGCCACAGAAATGTTAATATATCCCCACACTCATGTTTGCCTATATTTGTCCCACGTTTGAGGCAATGAGCCAAAATTCACTTTCTCAGGGTCTTCCCTAATTAATAGAAAGACTTTCAGATCCAAGACCTATTTGTATCCATGTAACCCTGCTTACTTACTGGCACTGATTAATGCCAAACACACCTTGGGTTCAATAGATTGTTTAAAGTCATTCTCAATGTATATAGTGGGCATACTAAGCAAAATGAACACAAGGAAGTCTACTTGGGACAAAGCATAATTACATAAATGCTCCTCCACGACTCGAGATAATATACTGTCACAACAGGATGAGAAAGCAAAGATCTCAGATACCAAGCAAGAACAGGTTAATAATAGGGACTTGGAAAAAAACAGTGTCCTATGGTAATTGTTCTGCATATCCATTCTATGCATCTGACAGACCTAAATACTGGCATGAAAACAAAAATCTATCTGAGAAATATATCCTCAATAAAAAATAAATAAATTACCTATAGAGAGTTGAGGATTATATAATTGGGTTTTCAGCACTTTCAACCAATGTTATTGTTTAAATAGAATAAGACTGGAATTAAGTCTAAAATTACTGTCTTGACTGGGAGATGTGGATAATGACATGGCAGTTCTTTTATTAATGGATTTAAGGTGTGGGCTGGGGAGACGTCTCTATCAATAAACTGTTTGAAAAAACTCCCATATTCTTGGTTCATACCTTCAACACTCATCATTTAAAAGAAGAATATGACAATGTTGCATACACGTGTAAACCCAGTGCTTGGGCAAGCAAAGTCAGGATGATTCCTGAAGCTCACTAGGCTACCAACCCAGCTGAATCACTGGGTTCCAGATAGACTAGTAGACCCTACTTCAAACAACAATAAAGTGAGAGTAGTGGAGAAAGACTCTGACCTCAAGCATACACACACATATAAACATACAAGCATATATAATCATACAGTACATATGAAGGGCTAAAAAGGAAATCAGATCTCCTTTTATGATTATTTTAATAATTTCTACAGTTGTCTTTCCAAAATGAAACCCAGTGAAGGAAATTCTGGTTTGAGTCACCTTCTAAAATACCAGCTCTGACTTATGAAAGAGTAAAGCCACTCTGAGAATCAGCAACCTGGAGGCTTAGGAGTGGAGTAGACCTGCTCCGGTTTTTTGTGCAACTTTGCATAAGTAAAAAAATTTTATGTATATCTCCAGATTTCTCTATACATTTATGCATACTCCTTACAGGAAGGAAAAACACAAATTTGAAGTTAGGGGAATTTGCCCTTTGACACAGAATTAAGAAGTCTTAGAAGGTTTGCAAAATATGCAAGCTCCTCCAGTTTAAGATACAGTAAACCTTGAGGTTTTTTAGTTCTGTGTATCAGAATACCCTAAACCTAACATGCATTAATGAAGACCAGTAATTCACATTATCTTTCTAGGTCCATCTCCCCCTTGTCGTAAGGATGCAATATACATCCCAGTAAGTTTAACACAGTTGAGAAGTTGTTCATGGAAGTCATTTCTTATCCCTGGTGCAGCATTCACTATGTGACCCTGAAGGCTACACTAAGTCAAAACTTAAGTGCTCCTTAGCTATTTGTTTCATGCATTATTCTCCATAGACACCATTAGTTACCACCCTGGTATCTCTGCATCTTGCCTCCTTGAGAGGAAAAATCGTGTCATTGATTGTAAACATAACCAGACCAGCCCTCTCTCACACTGCTAACATGAAAGCTGAAAGGCAATGTGGTGACTTTCTTCTCTTCTATCAAGCTGAGTAAAATAGACATAGGAAAAACAGTTCCAAGAATAGACATCTTTATTTTAGCCCAGAGATCACTGACTGAAGATTCATGCCAAGTTCAATTTTAGAGCTGACAGGCCCCAAAGAAGAGCAGTAAAGTCACAGAAGACCTGGAACTGAAAAGCAAAACCAAGAAAAAGACATAGCCACATCCTGCCAAACTCAGATGCCTTAGCCTACAGCAAGAACAACTAGGGAACATAAACTTTCTCTCTATCCCTGAAGCCCCAGACAGAGTTATAGTAAATGTCCCAATGTCACTGAAGCATGTACCATGTAGTTCCATCATACACAATGCTAACACCCACCCACAAAGAAAATGTTTGAAGAGTCAGACCTTCCCTTTTTCACTGCTGGTTCACCAGGAGCAGGGATTTTTACCCAGATAAGAACAAGCATGAAATCAACAAGATAGACAAACCTTTGTCCAAACTTACCAAACAGCAGAGAGTGAACACGCAAATTAACAAAATTAGAAATGAAAAGGGGGACATAACAACAGACTCTGAGGAAATCCAGAGAATCATTAGGTCATACTTTGAAAACCTGTACTCCACAAAATTCGAAAATTTAAAGGAAATGGATGACTTCCTGGACAGCTATCAATTGCCAAAACTAAATCAAGAACAGATAAGCAATTTAAATAGACCTATAACCCCTATGGAAATAGAAGCTGTCATCAAAAGTCTCCCAACCAAAAAAAGCCCAGGTCCAGATGGCTTCAGTGCAGAATTCTACCAGAAATTCAAAGAACAGCTTATACCAATTCTTCTCAAAGTGTTCCACACAATAGAAGCAGAAGGGTCTTTGCCAAACTCTTTCTATGAGGCTTCAATAACCTTCATCCCCAAGCCACACAAAGATACAACTAAGAAAGATAACTTCAGACCAATATCCCTCATGAACATTGATGCAAAAATACTCAATAAAATACTGGCAAATCGGATCCAAGAACACATCAAAACAATCATTCACCACGATCAAGTAGGTTTCATCCCAGGAATGCAGGGATGGTTCAACATACGAAAATCCACCAACGTAATCCACCATATAAACAAGCTGAAAAACAAAAATCACATGATCATCTCACTAGATGCTGAAAAAGCCTTTGACAAAATCCAACACCCCTTCATGATAAAGGTCTTGGAGAGATCTGGGATAACAGGGACATACTTAAACATAATAAAAGCTATATACAGTAAACCAACAGCCAACATCAAACTAAATGGACAGAAACTCAACGCAATTCTTCTAAAATCAGGAACAAAACAAGGCTGTCCACTCTCTCCATACCTTTTCAACATGGTACTTGAAGTTCTAGCTATTGCCATACGACAACAAAGGGGGATCAAGGGGATACAACTTGGGAAGGAAGAGGTCAAACTTTCACTGTTTGCAGACGATATGATAGTTTACATCAATGACCCAAAGAACTCTACCAGGGAACTCTTACAGCTGATTAACACCTTCAGCAAAGTGGCAGGCTACAAGATCAACTCAAGAAAATCAGTAGCCCTACTATATACAGATGATAAAAGGGCTGAGAGAGAAATCAGAGAAACATCACCCTTTACAATTGCCACAAACAACATTAAATACCTTGGGGTAACGCTAACCAAACAAGTGAAAGACCTGTATCGTAAGAACTTTGAATCTTTAAAGAAAGAAATTAAAGAAGCCCTCAGAAAATGGAAAGATCTCCCATGCTCTTGGATAGGTAGGATCAATGTAGTAAAAATGGCAATCCTGCCAAAAGCAATCTACAGATTCAATGCAATCCCCATTAAAATCCCAGCACAGTTCTTCACAGACCTTGAAAGAACAATAATCAATTTTGTATGGAAAAACAAAAGACCCAGGATAGCCAAAACAACCCTGTTCAACAAGGCAACGTCCGGAGGCATCACCATCCCTGACCTCAAGCTCTATTATAGAGCTATAGTCCTGAAAACAGCTTGGTATTGGCACAAAAATAGACAGGTAGACCAATGGAATTGAATTGAAAACCCGGGTATTAACCCACACATGTACGAACATCTGATCTTTGACAAAGAAGCTAAAAATATACAATGGAATAAAGAAAGCATCTTCAACAAATGGTGCTGGCATAATTGGAGACTGGCATGTAGAAGAATGCAGATCGATCCATGTCTATCGCCATGCACAAAACTTAAGTCCAAATGGATCAAAGACCTCAACATAAATCCAGCCACACTGAACCTCTTAGAAGAGAAAGTGGGTGGTACCCTTGAACAATTGGTACAGGAGACAGCTTCCTGAACATAACACCAGTAGCACAGGCAGTAAGATCAACAATTAATAAATGGGACCTACTGAAACTGAGAAGCTTCTGTAAGGCAAAGGACACAGTCAGCAAGACAAAAAGGCAGCCCACAGAATGGGAAAAAATATTCACTAATCCCACATCTGACAGAGGGTTGATCTCCAAAATTTACAAAGAACTCAAGAAGCAAGTCTCCAAAACACCAAAGGACCCAATTAAAAAGTGGGCTGCAGAACTAAATAGAGAGTTTTCAATAGAGGAGTCTAAAATGGCTGAGAGGCACTTGAGAAAGTGCTCAACATCCTTAGCCATCCGGGAAATGCAAATCAAAACAACTCTCAGATACCATCTCACCCCTGTCAGAATGGCTAAAATCAAAAACACCAATGACAATTTATGCTGGAGAGGATGTGGTGAAAGGGGGACACTCCTCCATTGCTGGTGGGAGTGCCAACTGGTTCAGCCACTTTGGAAATCAGTGTGGAGATTCCTCAGAAAAATGGGAATAAACCTACCACAAGACCCAGCAACTCCACTCTTAGGCATATATCCAAAAGATGCCCATTCATACAACAAAGATGTCTGTTCCACTATGTTCATAGCAGCTTTATTTGTAATATGCCAGAACTTGGAAGCAACCTAGATGTCCCTCACCCGAAGAGTGGATAGAGAAAATGTGGTACATCTACACAATGGAGTACTATTCAGCAGAAAAAAATAATGGAATCATGAGATTAGCAGGCAAATGGATGACACTAGAAGAAACCATCCTGAGTGAGGTAACCCAGTCACAAAAGAGAAACATGGCATGTACTCTCTCATATATGGATTTTAGACATAGATCTGGGGAGTGCCAGCCTACAATCCTATGGCCAGAGAGTCTGGGAAACAGAAACTTTATTTAGTGGCTGATCGAAGAAGAGGCAGACTCCCTTGGTTAAGTACTGAGCTGAACTCAAGAAAGCCAGTAACAGAGAGGGAGGACTGATGATCAAAGGGATTAAGACTGGGCTGGTTTAACCCCCAGAAACAGCTGACCAGACAAAGGTTAACTCTTGAATCCCAGGCATTAGCCTGGGAAGCCAGCATGGGACTGATCAAGACCCCCTGAATCTGGGTGTCAGTGAAGAGGCCTAGGGAATCTATTGAGCCTTGGGCAGCAGATCAGTACCCATCCCAAGTATACACATGGACTTTGGACTCCAATAGAACAATGTGAGGTGCACTCTCACCCTGAACTCTTGGGAAAGGGTCTAGGCCCTGCCCTATATGAAATGACACACTATGGACACCCCCATGGAGGGCCTCACCCTCCCTGGAGAAATGAGGGGATAACGGGAGGGGGGAGGGCACGGGAGGAAGGGAGGGAATGGGAGACGGACCTGGAACTGACTTGTGAAGCAACCTTGATTCTTATCTAAATTTAAACTGGAAAATAAAATTAAAAAAAAAAGAATAAGCATGAATAAAAGCCCTATTCTGACAGTCTTTACTCATCCTGTCTAAGGAACCAGCTTGGTCTCCTGCCCACAGCTACCAATTGGAACTGCTGTAACCTCTGTTTAATCAGAATAATAAGCCTGTGGGGACTGAATCATACCCTGATGTAGGGAAAGCCTATCTATCTGTCCTCTTATACATGGAATAGCTTTCTCCTGGAAATGCTGAGTATTACCTACCTCAATGGGTTTATAGGTGCCAAAACCCAGAGCAGCAATGTAGTGGCCATCGTTTAATCTGACAAACTGGTGTTTAGAACTCATTGCCTGTCACTCCTCTGCCTAAGCCTGAATCCTCAGGTTCCCTAAATGGGAAGTCTGAAAACACTATATATCAACTTTCTATCTAATGGCTAACAAGCGGCACCTACATTATTGTGGTTACCCATTCCTCTTTATTGACCAGTGTTTAACAATTTCTATTCCATGACTAATGATTAACTAGTTCTAGTATCTGACTAATGTTAAAAATACTACCATATGCCTTATATGTAAATGCTACTAACGGATAGTCAAATGAAAAGAGGAGGAATTAAAGTTGGAGCATTACTTCACATGTAGGAAGGGAAGCCACTCACATTCACATGAAGCATGAATTTTAAACAAAGTACTATATACTGATAAAGAATTTGCTTTCTGTAAATTTCTCTTTGTTGCCACATATATTTGAAGAGAAGAGATTGATTTAATAATTAAAATATTTCAGACACTTATTGGCCTTTGGACATTATGAAGACTCTGCTTGACCATGCATCATCACCTTATCTAAGTAGAATATAGATGCAAGCCTTAATCAGAGTGGCCAGCCTCTGCAGGCACTTATGTCATTTGAGATGTATTGTCAATAGGACCGGGAACCAAGAAGCACCAGCAATGTGTTTAACTTCTTTGCCTCATCCCTCCAACAGCAGAATGTCTATGTCTCAGTATACTTTGAAAATAGACAGTGGTTTCTATGTACAGAAGTCACTGCTGTGTTTGCTTCCCTCACTCCCAATGCAAGAGGGAGAAAGCTACTGCCTAGAATATTAGTCATTGGTGAATTGTACAAGCTAGGGAATCCTGAGAATGGGAAAGAATCTGCCAAATTCTATGTTGCAATGTTTATGTGGCCAGTAAAGGACCCTCTTGCTCTGTACACATACACACACACATTCACACACAACGTGGAAAAGCACTGGTGGGCTTATTGCACATAAAAATGGTTGAACTTCAAAAAAATCTAACTGGTTGTAAAGACAAGAGATTCCAGCTTCAAGTAATGCTTACCCTCCACCAAATACAACTTTATAATACCCAGAAAGACTCTTAATAATGCATTGTCTTTCCTTTTTAATGTGTTTCTCCTCTTTTCTGATTACTATATTTTAGTAGTGTTTGAATTTATTTTATTTAAAAAATATTTATATTTTCATTTTTATTCATGTTTATCAATTTTTCTTACACATATTTGACCATCAGTTATATATCTCTAATTCCTTAGATAACATACTTATGGCATTCTTCTATAATCTAAATTACTTCTTTTTTATTTAACATCAAATGACACTTCTATTTCTTCTTTCCTTCCTTTTCACTTATTCTGTTAGTTAACAACATATAATTTTATGCTAAATTATTTGATCATTATTTTTAATATGCTTGTGTTCTTTAGCCACTGGCCTTGCTGATACAGTCTTTAATTGGTTTTAGTGTTTGTATACAGTGTTTATTTAATGTTATTCTGTTACAGTGACTTGATTTTTTTGTGCTCATGGTGACAATAGGAATTGAACCCTCAAGTGTGACTGCTCACAAAAAGATGTCCCAATAAAACAAAGAAATACCCAATCTGACAAATGTATGCATCAACACACAAAACACAAGAAAACCCAAATAATAACAAAAAACAAGATTTCTCCAAGGCATCGCAACACTTTCACTAATGAATCCAAAAATAATACAGAGATTAAAGTGCTGGACAATGAAAAGGTCTATCAGCAATGTAGAAGAAAAGTCAGTAACATGAATAAATTTGGGGAGAAAACAATTATTGAAAATAAAGAGCAAATTGAAATATTGGAAAAGAAAAACTCAATTAATCAAATAAAACACAGAGTTCTAACCCCCAGCAGCAGGCCAGATTAAGTTGAATATAGAATATCAGGGATAGACAAAGATGGAAAAGTGTTAACATTCAAATAAGAATGAAGAAAACAAACAAGAATGACCATAACATTCCAGGAATTAAATTGAGACACCATGAGACAGACAGAGCTAAGATCAATACTATAAAGGCACAGAATATCTACTCAATAAAATTATAGAAGAAACTTACCCAAATCTAGAGCATTCGTGTACGGTATATTTTATAATTCAAGTAGATATTAATAGACAAGAATCTTACCATGCCATAGTATAACTGAGATACCAAGACAACAAAAGTAAAAGCTCCAAGAGAAAGTTATCAATTCACTTGTATAGGTAAAGCCATCAGAATAATATCATCCTATGAGTAAAAACTGTAAAATCCAGAAGAATATGAGAGCTATTTCAAGATTTGAAAGTAAATAGAGGCTAATTAAGAAAAAAACAGTTGAAGAAAAATACAACTTAAATTTCTGACCACTAAGCCAGTAATCCAGAAGATAATTAATTCTTTGTACATAGAGAAACCACAGGGAAATTTCGCAATAAATAGTTAAAGGAAAGGATTCAAGGACCTAAATGGAATTGGATGAAATTTAAAATGTTTTTTACAGCAAGGAAAGTAATTGATAGAGTAAAGGCACAGCTAACAGAGTGGGAGAAAAATCTTACCCAAATGTTAATCTGATAGGTGATTAATATTTAGAATAATTTAAAAGTTCAATAACTAAGCACCAAAAAAGTATTCTGCCAATAAAAGAGAAATTGAACTGATGATCCAGATTTTAAAGGAATAGACACAAATTCCAATAAATTGATTGAAGGTAAGGATGCAATGATATCACTAGACCCAAGATGAATGATAAATAGGTGCTTTGGGGAAACTTACACAGGTAATACAAAGAACAGTGTGAGCTTTTCTATGCCTTCCTATCCGATCCTCTGATCCACCAGAAGAAAGAAGGAAGGAAAGTCACACCTCAAGCTTCCCTCTTTCTGCTTACATCTGCCTGAAGCCATACCCAAAGTGGTATGAACACCATCACAGGCAAAAGCAATTCAATGTATAGCAAAAATAACTTCATTAAGCATTAACGACATGAAAATTATACTACACTGAGGTTTCCTCTGTCCCCCACTGAAAATGGGTATTATTAATAGAACACTGGAAAGCATTAGGGTTAGTTTGTAGTTCAGTATGGAGATTAAAAATAAAACCGCTAAAGACTGACAATCATGATCAGTCAAAATCACTAACTATTGTATACTAAAGGAACCATGAATCAGCATTCAACAGAAATGCTTGTGCATCTATATTGATCACTTGAGAATTGATAAATGAAGTGACAAATGAATTGGAGAGAACATGGCATATAAATAAAAAGGAGATTTATTCTGCAGTAAAGAAGAAATATAGTATGTGACCCAGAGGAAAATAGATGAAACTAAATTTGCAATATTAAGCAAATAAGCCAGACTCAGAAAAAACATACTTGCTTTTTCTTACTTTAATTTTTAAATACCTTGCTTCACCTGTCAATCCCATTCCCTCTCCCTCCTCTCCTCCCACACCCCCTCACCATCTCCCCCAACCTCCCCCCCCATCCCCATTTCCTTCCACATTGGGGATACAAGAGCTCCCCCCTTGTTCACATCAGCTGTGTCTGCTGGTTTCGTCTGCCCATTCTTTGCCAACTTGCTCATCGCTCCTCTCTCTCTGTCACTGGGTTCTGTGGATTCAGCTCAGTGTTTAACTGTGGGTGTTTGCCTCTGCTTCCATCAGTCACTGGATGAAAGTTCTAGTATGGCATATAGGGTAGGTGCCAAGTTCATTATCAGGAATGGGAATTTAAGGTTGTCTCTCCACTATTGCTTAGCTTGCCAGCTTGGTGTCATCCCTTTAGATCACAAGAGGTCTGACTGGTGCCAGATCTCTCTTCAAACCAATGACTCCCTCTATTATAGTATTTCTCATCCTGTTCTTCCCCTATACTACACCCCACTCAAACTTCCTATTCCTCCATGGTCTACTCTCTCCTCCTCTTCTCCCTCTCTCTTCTTCCCAGCTCCCATTCCCCCCCCCCCACATACCTCCCGCTGTATTCCCAATCTGTTCAGGAGATCTTGCCTCATTCCTCTTCTCTGGGGTACCATGCATATCTCTCTTAGGCTCTTTCTTGTTTCTCAGACTCTCTTTCAGTGGCATTGCAGACTGGAACTATCCTGATCCATGTCTAAAATCCATATATGAGTGAGTACATACCATGTTTGTCTTTTTGTGACTGGGTTACCTCACTCAGGATGGTTTCTTCTAGTGTCATCCATTTGCTTGCAAATTTCAAGATTCCACTATCTTTTTCTGCTGAGTAGTCTCTATTGTGTAAATGTGCCACATTTTCTCTATACAGTATTCAGTTGAGGGGCATCTAGGTTGCTTCCAGGTTCAGGCTATTACAAACAATGCAGCTATGAACATAGTGGAACAGACATCCTTGTTGTATGAAATTGCATCTTTTGGATATATGCCTAAGATGAAACTAGATTTGCAATATTAAGCAAATAAGCCAGACTCAGAAAAACAAACATACTTGCTTTACCCATGTGCAGAATCAAGATTTTAAGTAAACAAACATAATATATAATATCATAGCATATAATAATAGACAAAGGAACATGCTGCAGAGAAAGAGATATAAACAGGAGTACCAGAGGGATAATGGGAGAAAGAAAGGCAAATATTATATTTTCTCTCATATCTGTATCTAATAACAGTGTGAATTCAAAGTCCATTGAACTATTCGTTTATCGAACAGCTAATTCTTCTGGGGTTAATAACTGAATAAAAACTCAGTCTATTTAACTATTCATTTTGGTTACTTCATTTCAGAGGACCAACTTTACCAATTGAAAATCAGCAGCTGACAGTGACACATGGGAGTTGCTACAGTCCAGGCCTAGCATCTAACAAGAGATTCTGGGACTACTCCACAAAAACTCAGCACAACTCATGAATTTTGTCTTCACTGAATGTGGCCTTCTAGCAAGGAAAAATATTTTCCGAGTCTATGTGAACAGGGACTGAACCTCCATCCAATTGTAAACATTATTAAAACCAGGAAATGAACAGACAATGCTCCAGACTTTCTAAAATGCTGGAAAATGAACTGAAATAGGAGAAACAATACCCAGAACAGCCAATAGGTGGTGACATGATCAGACTCTGAGGTATAGCAAGCTCTAAACATCTGTCTTGACTCCTATTGATGGACTTGTTCTAGCATGAAGAAACTGAGAACCAGAAGCAGCAGGCAACTGGGCAAACCAGTTGAGTCTCTACTCATTCTACCTCTATTTCCATTGATCCTACAATACCAGCATCATGTCTGTTCCTGCATATCATTCTGCAACTGATGTGTGAAATTCAATTCCTTTCACTCTTCTGGATGCACAGATGATGTTACTTTTTTCCTTCCCAAGATACAATAAGAACAGAAAAGATTACATCTAAAACTTACTCGGTTTTTATGTGAATTAGATTTCCTAAATGTAACAATATATCATGACAAAGAAACAACTTTTTAGAATTTTTCAATCAAAGTAAATTATGCAATACATTTATTGAATAATCAATATTTTGTATACTATGATGCTTTAGCCTTCTACTTTCCTGGTTATTGTTTTTTGTCACTATGAATGCTTGGTTCTGTCTATGAATGCGGAGGCAGAGTGTGCATGATAGGCTTATGAACACATGTGTAATTTTGGGAGCTCACATGCCTCAGCATAGAGATTAGAGGACAACCTTCAGGAGCCAGACTCTGCTCCTTAACTTCCACCTTCCTTGAGACAGATCTCTTGCTGTTCACTTCTGAGTATGCCAGAAAAACTCACCAACAACCAGGGTGGATTTATTCTCTCATCTCTGTCTCCCATCCAATTTTAGAGACATTGGGATTAATGACACAGGCTGCCAAACCGGCTTTACAGAGATTCCAGGATCTGAGCTCAGATCTTAGACTTGCACATCAAGCATTTTACCCACTGAGCCATCTACCCAGCCCATGAAGCCTCTTCCTAATTGGACATTCCTTGAAATAATCAGATGTCTTACGCTATTCACACAATAATCCACACAGAGAAAGCATTAAAAACATGACAATTGCATTTCTCAATTATTGACTCTTAATAAAAAATGAATATTGAAAGAAAAATAACACTTTCAACTTTCTCCTTGACAAATATTTTTTGTTTTGTAATTGTTATGCTTAGTCATGGCACTGCAGTTGGAGCACTATGTAATTAAAGAGGCATCCTAGTATTGCACTGATTAGATGGAGAATGATTAACCACTGCTGAAAATCCTGTGCCAAAGGTACAGAGAACCTTTGACCTCAGTATGACTTTCACCTGTAATACAACTATGATATTCTATCAATATAGACAAAATACAGAACACTATTTCATTTTTGTGTGACCTCATTCAGGGTTATTCATGGAAGAGGAGTTGGAAAGCACTTCATCCCTGTAAATTTGAGGGTACTTGTGTAGGATTTGAAATGTTGGTGTAAAAATACCACAAAATAATTGTAAGCAGAACATACAGATTTCACATTGATAAAGAGTGAATATAGAACTAAGGTTTTTAGTACATTTCTTTCAGAGAGTACAGAATATGATATCACCTATGCTGTCACATGGTTATAAGACATAGGTTATGTTGGAATATTTTATTTAGAAACATTCTTATATTCATATCAATGTCGGTTACCTCTTCCTCCCATCCTCCCATGCCCCATCTGATGCTACATCCCACACCCCATCCACTCCCCATGGAGACTGAGGACTTCCATGGGGGGATCATCACGTTTTTCATATCATTTGTAGGAGAACCTAGGCGCACTTCCGTGTATCTGGGCTGAGAGAGTATCCCTTCATGGGTAATGGGATCCCAAAGTCCATTTGTGCACTGGAGACAAATACTGGTTCCACTGTCAGAGATTCCATGGACTATCCTGACACCCGCATTCAGAAGGCTTGGTTCAGTCAAGTGATGGTTTCCCAGGTTTGTGACTGGGGTTCATGTTCTTTCACTTGGTCAGGTCAGTTGTTTCTGTGGGTTTCTCCAACATGGTCTTGACAACTTTGTTCATCACTCCTCCCTCTCTACAAAGGGATTCCAGGAGTATGGCTCAGTGCTTAGCTGTGCGAGTCTGCGTCTGCTTCCATCAGTTACTGGATGAAGGCTCAAGGGTGGCATTAAGATAGCTATCAATCTCACTATAGGCAAAGGGCATTTAAGGGAGCCTCTTCCCTATTGCTTAGATTCTCAATGGGGTCATTCTTGTGGATCTTTGGAAAATTTGCTAGTGACAAATTTCTATTGAAATCTATACTGTCTCCCTCTATTAAGGTATCTCTTTTCTTCCTCTCCTCTATTCTTCCCCTGAATCAGTCTTCCTGGTCCCTCATGTTGTCCTCACCCTTAATATTCTCCCATTCTCTTTTTCCTACTTCCTCCCCTGTATGCCCATACTCTCTATTTTCTCAGGAGCTCTTGTACGTTTTCCGTTCTCCATGGGCCCACGTAAGTTTCTCTTAGGGTTCTCCTGTTTCATAGCTTCCATGGAGGTGTGAATTGTAGACTGGTAGTCCTTTGCTATATTTCTAATATCCGTACATAGGTGTGTACATGCCATTCTTGTCTTTCTGTGACTGGGTTACCACACTCAGAACGGTTTCTTCAAGTTCCATCCATTTGCCTGCAAATATAAAGATTTGCTGTTTCCTATTTCCCACTGAGTAATACTCCATTGTGTAAATGTACCAAATTTTCTTCATCCATTCTTCAGATGGGGGATATCTAGGTTGTTTCCAGTGTCTGGAGATTACAGAAAATGCTACCATGAACATAGAGTGCATTCTTTGTGTATATGCCCAAGAGTAGATTGTTAGATCATGAGGTAGATTGATTCCCATTTTCCTGAGGAAACTCCATACTTATTTCCAAAGTGACTATACAGGTTTGCACTCCCACCAACAATGTAGGAATGTTCCTCTTTCTCCACATACTCTTCAGAATTAACTCTCATTGGTGTCTTTCATTTTAGCCATTCTGAAAGGGCAAGAAACAAGATCATCTTTGAAAACTGGAAGCATAGTTGGGGGAAAGGGAAGTGGAAGGGGAGGAAGAAAGGGAGGGAGGAATAGATCGTGAGGGAACTAGATGGTGGAAATGGGAGAAGGACAAAGAGAAAGAGCAAGGAAACACAAATCTTGGTAGAGGTGTTATTAATGGGGCTAGAGAGAAACCTAGCATATGGAAATTCCTGAAAACCCACAAAGATGACCCAAGCTAAGACCCTAAGCATTAGTGGAGAGGGTACCTGAAGTGGCCTTCACCTGTAATCAAATTGGCTACCTGAATTATCATCAAAGAACCTTCATCCAGCAACTGATGGAGGTAGATGAGGAGATCCACAACTAAGGACAGGGTGTGGCTCCCAGAGTACAGTCGAGGAGAGGGTGGAGCAATAATATAAGCAACAGGGTTAAGACCATTTTGAAGGTACCCACAGACACAGCTGATCTGAGCTAGTGAGAGTGCAGTGACTCTGGACTGACCACTGGATAGCACCGAACTGAGCCCTCTGAAAGTGGGTGAAAGATGTATGACTTGAGAGTCTGTCAGTCCACTGCAATGGGACTAGGATTTATCCCTAATGCTTAGCTTGCCATTTTAGTGCCCAGTCTCTTTGAAGGGATACCTTGGTCAGTCTAGATTTAGGGCGAAGGACGTTGGTCCTGCCTTAAGATATATTCCTCAATTCCTTGTCTCCCCATGGGAACCCCTACTCTCTCGATGGAGTGGTTGCTGTGTGGTATGTGGGAGGTTGGGGAAGGAGTGGAGGGGAGGGAGTGGGAACTGGCATTGGTATGTACAATGAGAAAAGATTGTTCTAAAGAAAAAGAATATGTAAAAAATCAATTTTATATGTTTTTTCTGAATTTATTAAAATTAAAATTGGTTCTTTTATTTATTTTAAAAATTAATGCTAGGAATAACTCTCTGATGTGTCATTGGATTAACTATATAAATATCACCTTGTGTTTGTAACATGTAATTATCTTAAGAAAAAAGAAAAAACTTGACAACAAACAAGTTTGGCATCATTTCTAGGAAGAACTGTGATGAACTCCCTCCCCCTGTAGAGACCCATCCTGACTTTTAATGGTCCTACTAAAAGCTGATTCTTGTGTAACCTCTTCAGCCTAACCTATCACAGGAATGCCTCACTCTCCAGTTCCAAGACACTAGAGTAAGCCTGGGGACTATTGGTAACATCCCCATGTGTATCTCACCTTCCAGACTGTGTGGAATGCTCTTCTCTTGACTCAAGCCTAGAGGCCCACTGACATGAAATAACCACTTCCAGTCATTCTTTGGTCTAGAAAAACCACCTACCCCAAGTCTGAGATATTTATAAAATGGAAATCATCATTTCCAAACACTGCCTACAGACTTCCAACAAAACCAGATTTTGTGTCATAATGACTCATTAAAAAATAAAGCATATTTTAAGGAGAAAAGGGTAATATTTATTTCAAAGTATTGTGAAAATTAACTCCTTTTTCTTCTAAGTCATTGTCTGGAGCTTCAACTGAATGTCAGAGTTGCCAAGCAGCCTAGGTTGGCTGAAAATGTGACATCCACCAAACAACATGTGATTCACATGACCAACATCTCTCAGTGACTTCAGGCAGTGTCATGACTATGTCCTCACGTTAATATTCATCAGAAAATGGATATTCTGGGTGCTCAGCAAAACTAAAATAGGAAATAAAAACAAACACCTACTGTATGATTCACTTCTGCAGTGTAAGGTTACGACATCTAGGAAGTCACAATACAGTGAAAGTTAAACATTTTGTCCCCTGATCAGTTGCTGAAGGTGACATTTACAAGTATTTATAAGAAGAGTTTTTAAAATATCATTTATAAATTATTTTCCAATTATATTTTATATTTCTTTGCCTAGAACAGAGAATGCGAACACCAGTGTTCATAAATATTCATCTCCCTTAGCCTCATCTATGCACCAATTGAAAGAAAGAAGAGCAAAAATTCCTTTCCAAATTCAGTCTCCAATGAAAGGAGTAGAGCATGTTTGCACAATGATTAACAAAAAGTCTTAATATGCCTTACATATCATTTATTCCTACTACTTTCACTTCCATTTCAGTAAATAGTAACTTGGTAATTATACACTCGCTGCACATTATTTTCAATGTAGGGTAGTAGATTCACTTAGGAAAAGAAAGATATTAACAAGATAGGGTTTCAATGTCCAAGGAGCTAACTATATAATTTATACACCTTTCTATATAAACAACAATACAAATTATGAAGCGATAAAAAGCATTGTAACACAATTAATAAAAGACTTACAGACTGATACTTGTTTTCAAACTTCAAGTTGCAGATCAGAAAAGCAAGCAGTCAGCCGCTACATCTCACCCCTACCTCAGACTGTAAGGGGATCCTGGCTCTACTAAACCTCAAACTGTAATCCCAGATTGCTATGTGCTCCTCAGTGTGACTGGAGAATTCTGAGACTTCAATGTCTTCTTATTCTCAATGTGGCTGGAGAATGAATGCCAGCTCTGAGACCACGTTCCTATATTAAACACTTCTCATGTGTCCTGGGATTAAAGGTGTGGGCTCTAATTCTCTTTTAGACCGATTCACTCTAATGTGCCCCTGGGTGCTATTGAAGTAACATTGGTCCATCTGTCTTTATCTCCTGAGTCCTGGAATTGAAAGTTTTTCCCACCACATTCTTACCTCTCTACACTTTGTGGCTGGCTTTGCTTTCTGAATTTTTGAGCAAGTTTTAGTAAGTAATAAATAATATATCAATACATACTATTAATTTTTAAAGTGTGGCAAAAATTATTCATTATTTACAAAACGATTCATTAACTAATTAAATTTCTTCTTTACCATTATTCTGCTCTATTCTGAAATTTTTTTAATTATGACAAATAGATGACAATTTTGCAAGGCATTGTAGACTTTCTAATCTTCCTTAAAGCATTATCATATTTATTTTCATTGAGAAGTAAAATTCTAGCAAATAGAATATATAGATACATAGATGATGATAGAAAAATGACAGATGATAAATGAGTAGAAGATGATAGGTAGATAGATGAATATGCACATATATGTGCATATATACAGTCTTTGTTTGTAGTTTAAAACCTATTTCCAGTAGCAACTTTTGTAGCCATGTACCATGAAAGGAAAGTAAGATACTGATTGGCTGCTGGTGCTCCTATGCAATGGTGCTGTATCCTGAAGGCTATTTTCTTTGTTTTCAGCAAAATTTTACAAAACCTTCTCTGTTTTGCAAAGACACATTCACTTTTTCAAAATCTAAGAAAAACATTTTAGATTAACGTTATCTATGGGAAATTTGCTACAGGCAAATAGGGCATTTGGTTTCTGAACCATCATAGATGGAAGAAGGAAGGAGAGACTTAGTCCTGAAACAAATTGAGGTGAGGTGTTTATCAACATTACTTACAACTTAGCTGGAAGACATTGAAAACTTTTATTCAGGCCATCTAGTGTTTTCATATCCTTAGGAGACAACTGGAATTTAAAACCCTATCAGAAAAACACAAAGGATTTAGTATTTAAATCAGATTTTATGCCTCAAAGGCAATGTGAGTAGTATGTATGCTCCTAAAAATGATGAACACTGTTTACTACAACACTCATGGTTAATAAATATCAAATAAAAATGGGATAAAACTGCTGTTGAGATATATTAAAATTGTACAGTCCTACAGTAAACAAGAAATCTCAAATCAACTTGAGGAAAAAAATCAGTTAACATCATTCAAAGATGGTGGTATCACAGATATAATTTCCAAGAAATCTAGAACAAAATTTTGAAATACATCACACAAGCAATGAATTGCATGAGGAATGAGATTTTGTAATCCATCAATGAATAACTAAAATGTAAACAATTGCTCTTTTCAGTTTTATGTAAGTCGAGAGTTTTCCAAATTCTAATCTTATCGGTGTCCATGTAGGACAAAAGAGCTTGCTTTACAGAGGATCGATCATCTTATGCAAATTTGTAACATTTTAACATTAAAATGATTGCATTGAATGTTTCCCATCTTAAAGCCCCTGCAGGGGTAAGTCCTTTGGGGCCATAAATATGGAGACAAAAAATATTGAGGGAAGAGGGACAAGCAAATTTGTCAACAATTTAACAGCTGATAAATCTAGTAGGACAATTAATTAGGGTAGTGAAAAGAGTAAATAAAACAAATGAACAGAGAAAAGACCCATAAAGGTAATCACCCTGAATCAGTTATTTGAAATTACATACATCTCTCATTCATATTTTACAACTATAAAAACTGTATTTTAGAGAAGAGTGTAGGGGAGAATAAAACAAAACCTTGGTAGAACAGTGAAGGAGCCATAAGCCCTGACTAGTGAAAAGACATGGCTGTTCAATCACAGAGTAAAAGTATGAAGACTGGAATAAGAGCCAGTTTTTAATAAATTAATAAAAAGATACTGAAAATAATAAAAATTGGGAGAAGGCAATTCAGCAAACATGAATTTGCATATCAAACAGTATTGAGGTTATGTAAATGCAGCAAACTAGCAATCCACACTTATGTTTTTATTTGAGAAAATAGACCATCTCTTCATTGACTACCTAGAATCACAAATTATTGCATTGTCCTACTTCAACACTTGACCCACCATTGTTCATTTGTGAGCAGGTGTGTGTGTGTGTGTATCATTTTCAAATGATTTTATATACATACATACACATATATACTTCAAATGAGCATAAATAGCATATCAAATTAGCATAAATAGCATATGACATTACATACATTTACATATGAAAAATAGAAAATGTATTTGACATATGAATTACCTTATATATTTATCACACACACATATATACATACATACATACATATAAATTCCACACGTCATCAAATGCTCACCCCTACACACCTTTGCACAAGTCCAAAGGTATTTATTGCAAAAACTGGGATAATATCACTTTTGCAGCAGCATTTCTAGGAACACCAGCAATACTTGCCTATAATAGAGAGAAACTTGTTTTTGTCTTGGAGGTTTGTGGATCAATTGCTGCTCTGGTTTAATTTCAATTTTTTAAATTACATTTAGTTATTTATTTTGTCCCTTCTGGGTTATGAGACTATTGAAACCGTGGACTTCAAGAAGTTAGATTTAACTCAGGAATCTTATACTTAGAGAAAGAAAAGCTGAGGTTACAATGGCAGCCAGAAGACAAAACTGTGCAAGGAGAACAATCTATGATGTATTAGACTGGATTTCAGGAGGGGTTGGACACAAAAAGAACCACATCTTGACCACAGTAGATAATTATACATGCTTCACAGCATGGACGTGGTCATTTCATCTGGGACATCTCAGGACTCCCATTCAGATATGCAGATAGTAGTGGTGGATAAAATAGACATATGCCCTGTGAAAAGTGATTATTAACCATTTTAGCTTGACTGACACCAATATACTCAGCATTTTTAGTTTTGTGTTCTTTAATTATAGACTAGTATAAATATTCAAATAATGTGATTTAATTATTTGTTTTGGAGCTATTTTTAGAATATTTGAAATTTTTGCATTTCTTACCATTTTTGAGTGACCACTAAGTTTTATTTTATGGGGAGGCCTGATACAAAAGTACAGACCACTTATATAAAAGCTGCATGTAATCACAGCAATCATAATGGGCATTGAAAAGATTTCAGTCCAAATAGAAACTTAAATGATCATTAACTCTATTAAAGTTCTAAAAATTTTAATAAAAGAATGTTAAACATCTATTACAAAAGAAAATAAATACTTTAAATTTGGGTTTTATTAAAACAAACTTGGGTCTAAATATATCCACTTCTAAGAAACTCAAATTGCTTTGAATGCAAAGAATAAGAAAAAGTACATGAATACCCTTTGATTCTAAACAAACACATACAAATTTACTCATATATGATTTCTTTATTATAAGTGTCTTGTAGCTTAGGTGAGTAAAACTTCTGTGTTATCAAGGTTTATATAACATTATTAAATATATGCATATTCCATTATTCCTCTTCAAACCATTTATTTAACTTCATTAGATTTTTGACTTGAGATAAATAAGTGAAAACCAAATAAACATTAATGTTGTAAGTCAAAATATTCTCAAATTACTCTGCAAATAACATGTAAACTCTTCAGATTTCTGTTTGTGTCTACTATTGAAATGTAGCCTTCTTTGTAGTAGTTTCCTAGATACTTACACTTATATAAACTCATGTTTGTTTACCAGACTAATTATACATGTAAGTATGTTCTATTCAATAAAAAGAATAGCATATCTGTTTTATGAGTACCTATGTCTGAGACTCTTTATCTAAAGCAGAAAATCAGAAGTCATCTACATGTGACATGGAAAATAACAAGATTCTGACAATGAAGAATATACCTATTCTCAACACAGTATAATTGGAAGCACATTGAAAACTACGCTGGAGTTGATGGGGGAACAGGACTCCTAAGAAATATTCATAGACTGAAATACAATATCCAAGGTAAATAGGCAAATTCCCAGTGAGACAGGGGATGTAGAAGCCTTAGCTTAAAGATGAGGTTATCAGAGAAAAGAGACTGACAATGTTGCTAAGGTGTAAGCCCACAGCTCCTTAATGTCTTCAAACAGTTGTGTATCCTGGTAAGGTCATGACTTCTCTAATGTGATGGCTTTGGTGAAGCAGCATCTTGAGAGTGAATAGGTTGTTAAGTATTTAACCATTTGGGTACATAATAACAGTGTACAATGTCAACTCAAGGAACCTGGAGCCTAGGTGAGACAGGAAAAGTAGTTAGTCATAAAGAGGAATTAAACCAGATGTCAGCAAATGAAAAATTCAAGTGGAAGTTCATAGTTATACATCAAGCTCATCGTTAGTAAGTAGTAGCTGACCTCATCACCTTATCTAAGCATTATATAAACCAAACCTTGCAAAATTAAGTAGCCAGCCTTGGAATGCACCTATGTCAGTTTAGATGCACTGTCAATGGGACCAAGATCTATGAAACACCAAAAAAATTATTTACTTCTTCACCTCATCCCTCCAGCAGCAGCATGTCTTCTACTCAGTATGCTTTGAAAGTAGACATTGGTTTGTATGTACATAAGTCAGTGCTATGTTTGCTTCCCTCACTCCCAATGCAAAAGGGAGAAAGCTGGTACTCGATTATTAATCATTCCTGAAGGGTACAAACTAGGGAGTCCTGAGAATGGGAAAGAACCTGCCAGGCTGCATGCTGCATTTTCTATGTGGCCAGTAGAGGCTCCTCCTGGTACACACACACACACACACACACACACACACACACACACACACACACACACACACACGCACACACACACCAGTGGAAGAGCACTGTTAGGAATATTGCATTTAATACGATGAACTTCAAAGAAGTGTATCAAGTAAGAAAGGCAAGAAGAAACTAGCTTTAGCTGCCTCCAAACCTCCAACTTGCCAAATACAGATTTAGAAGGCCCAGAAAGACACTCAATATTACCTTGTCTTTTTTTCTTATTGTGTCTCTCCCTTTCTCTCATTACTATATTTTAGTAGTGTTTGAATTTATTTTATTTTTAAAAAAACATTTATATCTTTTATTTTTATTCAGGTTTATCAATTTTGCTTCCATGTATTTGTTCAACAATTATATAATATGTCTCTCATTTCATGATTTACATCCTTATGACATTCTTCTATAATCACATTTTCTTTCTTTTGTTTAACATTAACTGACACTTCTACTTCTCCTTTTCTTCCTTTTCACTGATTCCATTATTTTACCACATGTAGGATTACCCTAAAAATTTTTAATCCATCAAGTTTTCTATTTTTGTGTTCTATAGCCACTGTCCTTGGTGGTATAATCTTGAATTGGATTTCAGTGTTTCTTCATGCAGTTAAAGTTATTCTGTTACAGTGGCTTGATATTTATGTTCATGGTGATAGTAGGGATTGAGATTTTTATGTATTTTAGTGAGCCTACTTACTAAAAATATGTCCTAATAAAACAAAAAATACTCAAAATGACACATGTGTGTATCAACACTCAAAAAGAAAAGAAAGCACCAATAACGACAAATGACAACATGATACCTCCAAGCATCATAACCCATTCACTGGGAAACCAAAGATTTAAAAAATGATTTAAATGTTGGACAAAGAAAAAGTCTGTAAGCATTGCAGAAGAAAAAGCAATAACATGAGGAGGAAACAAATTTTGAAAATTAAAAAGCAAATTGAAAGGTTGGCAAAGAAAAACTACAGTAATTAAATAAAATACAGAGTCAAAATCCCCAAAGCAGGCTATATTAAGCTGAATATAAAACATTAGGGATAGAGGACAAAATTGAGAAAATACTATATTTATATGTGAATAAAGAAAAGCAGACACTAATGGCCATAACATTCCAGAAATTAAGAGACGATGAGACAGATTGAGCTAAAATCGGTACTAAGGGCACAGAAAGTCTATGAAATTAAATTGTAGAAGAAAATTACCAA